ATTTTTATGTTCATTTGAGATCTTGATCACACATTTTGGTTCATGTTTTATTTTATTTTGGAACTTAATTGGTAGGACCACTAGTTTGTGTACTTGCCTAATGTTTGAGATGATTTGAGCATTCTTTGTACATATTTTTAGGCATTCTTTTTAGGGCTCATTGAGCTATTGCCTTCTTGGTATCATGATCATTTTTCCTTGATTTTTAAAGGCTCTTACCTATTTTTCATGTGTGGTGCATTACATGCCTAATTGTTTGGATGTGCTTGAACTTTGTGATTCGTTTAGGGGTGTGCTTGTGCAACCACATAGTGTTTGATCCTATCTCTTGTTCATGATTGAAATAACATGTGGCAGAGCCTTATTCTTAGTCTCACTTGGATCTTCTCCTATCTTTAATTGATGCATCAATGTGATCTTGTTTTGAGAGGGATATGCATGCTTACTTGACCTATTTTTGATCTCGCTTGATTACATGTGATTGGTTGATGCTTAGGATGTTTAAAGAACATGGATAATTGTTTTTCAAGGCTATAGTGACTTGTCTTTGTTGCTCAATGACATGTTTTTCACTTCTTGAATTTCATATGAATCTTTGTGTCCTTTTATGAAAACTTAGATTGATGCATGCTTGTTTGTGTGAACTTGTTGTGATGTGATGCTCATGTTTCTTGCTTGACATGTTGAACTTGATTTTGAATTGATCTTCACACACACACACACACACACCACTTCCCATACTTGGATTCATACCTTGATCTTGCGTGATTACTTCTTTGAGGTGTGTTTTTGCATGACTATTTGTTTGACAATTGATGGAATTTGGATATGATGCATGACTTGAACTTTTGTGCTTTCTTCTTGATCTATAGCATGAATTGAATGCATCTTGACATAGATACTTCCCTACTCTGGTTCTCACATCATTTGACTTCATTTTACTTCACTTGATGATTAATATTGTTTCTTGGTTGATCTTAAGTCATTTGTGTATGCATTGGTGCCTTGTTTTGCCTAATTACTTTGACTTCCAATCTTTGGTTATGGTTTGACATGTGTGCACACTTTGGTTACCTTAACATGGTATTGATGTTTACTTTATATGATTGATCCTTATGATCGTATTTGCTTGACGCTTATGTCTAATCCTTAATTGTTTGCATGATGTTGCATCTTCCTCTCGTGAGACTTCTCCTTCCTCACTTAACTCATTCTTCCTTCATCTCTCTTTCTTATTTTAAGTATTAATACTTGGTTAAGTATCATGTGCTTACCTTTTGTGATTGATTAGTATAATGTTTACTTGTGTTTACTCATATGATCCCTTAGGATTCCTAGTTCAACTTAATTTCTGATTAAGTTAGAGGTAGGAGAGACATTAGGCTTTCAATCATTTGCATGATAACAATTAGGACAGTCCCTTTTAAACCTTAACCTTAGGTCTATCTCCTTGCATGCTAACATTAGGTAGAGTTCCCTTTTTATCCCAACTTTAGGACCATTGTGCATGACAACATTAGGAGTTAGTTTTCCTTAGTTGTTTTCTTTTCAACCTTTGAGTCCTCTTTCTTATCATGTCAAAACAAAAAATCAAAACACTTAATAAATATGACGAGTATTGTGTGTGAAGTCAAGCTTCCTTCAAACATTCATGTTTCGATGACGACAACAAAATATGCTCAACTATAGATGCGCAAAAAGAAATGATCACTTGTTTCAAGCTTCAAGTTTTATCCAACAATTGCTCAAGCATTAAAGTTCATCTTGGAGTAAAGCAAAGGTTGATTAAATATTGCTTAACATAATTATACAAGTGTTCTTATATTGTGTCATGAATTTCATACATGTTTAGGCATTATAGAATACCTTGCCATAAGTTTCATGCTTCAGAAATCTGTTTTTAGGCAAAATATCTCAGTGTTAATCGATTAAGACATTCCATTAATCGATTAACAGGTCAAAATTTTGAATATTTTTTGCACGTTACAGTGTGTTAATCGATTAACACTGTCAAGATTTCTGAAAATATGCATCTGTTCATGGTATTCTTCCTTGCCTATTCATTTCTTTTCATGACATTGTTTCATAGTATGATACCTCTATAGAAATGTATTTTGTGCATTATATAAATATTTCTTTTTCAGATTTTGAAATTTACCAACATTTTTCATAATCAAAATCACTCATATTCTCATTCTTTCAATACATTGTCATAGTGTTCATTACAAACTTTTTGAGAGAAACTTTTAATAATTTTCCAGAAACATCATTCTAGTTTCATCTCATTCATAAGAACACTTGTATATCTATTGTGAATAATATTTTTTCAAGGAGAATATCAATATTCATATTGATAAATATTCACATTGTTACTTATACAAAATTCAGATTCACTACAACTTATTTTTAGGATTATTAAGGATAAGTGTGTAGAGTTTTCCTTGTTATCCGGATTGTGGATACAAGAGGTCCTTGTGTGAGATATTCATTCTCGGTAGGACTTTAAAATTGTGTAAATCCAAGAAGGGTGTTCTTGGTTGTTAGAGTTTTCTTGGTTAGGAAATCTAACATTGATAGTAAATTCTCTTTCATGTTGAAAGGGGAGTGGAGTACTCTCGGATTGTGAGGGGAACCACTATATATCACTGTGTTTTTTACTTTCCGCATTTACTGCCTTTCATCACCCAGAAGCACTTAGGAAAGTAAAAATCCAAGAATCATCAAAAATCAGAAAAAGTGTCTAAGAACCTAATTCACCTCCCCTCTTAGGCATTCATATAACTCACATTGTGCGCCATGAGTCTTAAGTACATGAGAAGTGATAGGCAGAAGTCCTTCTTACCTTGTCTAGGGTGCTTTACATACGTCCCGTCTTGGGTCAATCTTGCGAAGCATTCGATTATGTGTCATAGACTTTAGTACGATGCGAGTCTCAAATAAAGTCAATTCACTTCTGTCTAAAACTCATAAACCAAATGCAAATATTTTTATCCTTCGGGATTGGTGTCAAATCATTTTCAGAAAGAGTACGTTACTTCCGTTCTACCGCAAACAGGCATCGACCCTAACTGTTAGAACGCGAATCTAACGTCACTCATAAAAACACTTAACTAATCTGTGGTTAGTCGGTTGAAATTCGAGCGCTCTGACTTCTTCATTCTCGTCCAAATGATGATACGTAGGTACAAGACAATGATGTCTTAGCGAGCACAATCCCCCCATTCATCCGTATTCCTCTGAACTACGTGGACTCTGACTTTCCCATTGCACGAGGGAATGCGTAGGCATATGACGACGAAGTCCTATCAAGTCTCTTTTTTGTTTTTTTTTCCTTTTTCGTCTCCGTACGCAAGTAGGCTTTAGATAAGCACACCCTTTGATTAGACAACAAGCGTGGATCCCGTTGAATACAACGGACGCAAGGGAGTGCTAATACCTTCCTCTCGCGTAATCGACTCCCGAACTCACGACTTGGTTGAGATGACCATGTCTTCTCCCTTTTGAGGTTTCTTTGATCGTTTCCTTTCCACCGCCAAGATAAATAACGTTCGGTGACGACTCTGTTTTTCCTTCGGTTGTTTTTCGCGTTGCGACAGATCCATGGTGTAATTATGTTTTTTGTTTGTTTGTAATTTTGGACATATATTATGTATGGTGTTGCATTTTAGAATTAATGTATGACTTTTTACTTTCATTTACCTTTAACTAAACTTCATTTTATTGCGATTTTATTTTGATTTTACGTTGATATAACTTGACCTCAAAAAATTATAATGTTGGGATAATTGTGCTCTTCTGAAACCATTTAGGGGGTTTTTGGAGATACATCTCCGAAGTAATTTTTCTTTTTTTTGTAATTACCACAATTTCAATATACGTAAAATGACTTCAAGAAATATTTTGGAGATGCATCTCCGGATACTCCCAAAAATTATACGAAGATGTATCTCTAGACCATATTTTTTACAAGATGGGGTGAATCTTAGAAAAATGAAGGATAATGTAATTTTTGGTGCGTCCGAAGATGCATTTCCCAAAGTATGGAGTATATTTTTGAATTTTCAAGAGTGTGGTATGCACACGTAAGGGTGGAAAAAACAATTTTCAAAATTTTAAAAAACTTATCCAATACAACGCTAGTCATATACTCTTTCTGTTTTAAAATAATTGTCTTTTTAACTTAAACAATTTGTCTAAAAAAAATTATCATTTAACTTTTTCAATGCAACATTAATTATTTATACCAATTTTTATCTTAATTAATATTGTCTGCACTACTTTTAAAATATCAAATCTCACTTTTCATTTATGACAATGCATGTGTAACTAATACTAACAATTAAGGATAATTTTGTAAAATTGTTACATTTATTTTTTTATTTATTATTTTTCTTAATAATACAATAATTTTAAAAAACTTTTATTTTGAGAGAGATAAAGTAGTTGGATTTTTCATAAGGGAAATGTTAAGGGACATGCTTGTAAAATTTTTTAAAAATTTTGTATATTCAATGAATTGAAAATTGAAATAGTTGATTTTTATAAAAAATATTTTCTTTATTTGATATTTTTAAAGAGTGCACAGAAAATATAAAAACAAAACGATACAAAACAACAACACCAAAGATCGACCAAACCAAAGACAAAGATCGACCAAACCAAAGAATCATCAAGATCTTCAAGATGAAGAAATTCCGTACACCCAGTTTTTGTTAAAGAAAGTAAGTTTCATCTTGAATCGTTTCACTACCCTATACTAATCACATTATTCTCCCAAAAAACCCTAAACCTATTTTCTTTAATTTCATTTTTACCTTCCATATTATATAACACACAGTCTCTGGAATCTTCGATTAATTAGTGATAAACTCAATTATTATTATTACTATTAGATTAGATAATAATAATAAAAATAACACCACGGTTACCCTTTCCTCTTCTTCATTCTTCTCTACCCTAACGGTTACCGTGAAATTATTCTTCAGTCGAATCCCTCACATATGGGCGAAGAAACACAACTTCAACCACAATCCCTAACCGGAACTCAAATTGAATCTCAATCTCAGCCACAAGTGGAGGTTTCTTCCGATAACATCATCTCCGCCACCACCGTCGTCGGAGTCGACGGTATTATCCCCGTTGAGTCCGAACTGAGCAATGTCCCTCCACACACAAACTCACCGGCGACGAAAATCCCCCTCCGTCCGAGAAAGATTCGGAAAGTCTCTCCGGACCCGACGACTTCCGAATCGCAAACCGAAATCCCTAAACCGGTCAATTCGTTCCCCGGCGGAAAATCGAATGGACGGAACAACAACAACAACAACAGAGCGGTTCAGCAACAGCGAGCCATAGCGCTTCCGAGGATTGTTGCTAGGTCACTTTCGTATGAAGGTGAGGTTGAGATGGCAATTCGTTACCTTCGTACTGCAGACCCGCTGCTATCTCCTCTCATCGATATTCATCAACCACCTACCTTTGATAGTTTCCATACTCCATTTCTTGCCCTAACTCGGAGCATTCTGTATCAACAGCTCGCGTTTAAGGCCGGGACTTCGATTTATACGCGATTTATTGCTCTCTGTGGTGGTGAAGGCGGTGTTGTTCCTGAAACTGTTCTTGCTCTGAATGCTCAACAGCTTCGGCAAATTGGGGTTTCTGGGAGGAAGGCTAGTTATCTTCATGATTTGGCTAGGAAGTATCAGAATGGGATACTTTCTGATTCCGCCATTGTAAATATGGATGATAAGTCGCTTTTCACTATGCTTACTATGGTTAATGGGATTGGGTCTTGGTCTGTTCATATGTTTATGATATTCTCGCTGCATAGACCTGATGTGCTTCCGATTAATGATCTTGGTGTTCGGAAAGGGGTTCAGATTCTTTATAATCTTGATGACTTGCCTCGACCGTCTCAGATGGAGCAGTTGTGTGAGAAGTGGAGGCCTTATCGATCTGTTGCTTCGTGGTATATGTGGAGGTTTGTTGAGGCTAAGGGAACTCCTTCGACGGCTGTGGCTGTTGCCACTGGGGCCGGCTTGCAGCAGCATCAGATGGAGCATCACCACCAACAGCAGCAACAGCAGCATCCTTCACAACAACAGATTATGGATCCCATGAATAGCATGTTTAATATTGGGTAAGATGGTGTGTGTGAGTTTATTTGAAATAGATTGATTTGAAAAGGTGGCGACCTTGTTTGCTTAAGATTGCTTATATTGCTGCTAATGACTGTTCACAATAGTGATCAAATATTTCTCAGTTGATTGAGAGCTTTCATTTCATCACATGTTGGTCACCCTTTTAGGTAATTTAGGAACTATAGAAAAAAAAGTGGAATACATGTCATTAGAAATAACATCTTTGCCTTTTGAGCTTTGGTTTTTGATAATAACAAGATGCAATACATTCTTGTTTTGATTATCTTGTTATCTGTTTTTGTTAATGTTGTTAAATACCCGTTATAGCGGTACTATACAGTTATAGTGAATCAGAATTTGGGCAAACGGCTATTGTCCGGGATATGCCAAAGTCTATAATGGCTATAACGTTTATAACGTCTATTGTCCGTTTATTACAAAATGCTTTCAAAACAGCGCCATAATTCTATAACGGCTATAATTCTATAATGGCTATAGCCTTTATAGAGTTATAGTGAAGCATGCCAAAGTCTGTAACGGCTATAAGTCTATAACGTCTATTGTCCGGTTATTACAAAATGCTTTCGAAACAGCGCCATAAGTCTATAACGGCTATAGCCTTTAAGAGTGTACTCTTGATCCATGTAGAATACATATAGTACTCTCTTCGGTCCTTATTATAAGAAAAAGTTCACTTTTTAGATGAATTGAGTAATCAATTTATCTGGTTTATATATAGTCCAGATATACAAGGGTAGAAAACACGTGCTTTGGCATTCTCTTGCATTACTATATGTAGATTAAAAAAGGGGGAAACGAAGATTTATGTGGATATAACATGGAAGATAGGAAATTGAGTAAAATAAACCTACATATGAAGCAGTGAATACATGGTAGTGTCAGTTATTGGTTTTATATGTTAAGGATGAGTTGACATTCACCTTTACAGGATTGTGCTATAACTCCTGATATTGTATGATATCTCGTGTGCCTGCGACTGTTCTACTTGTTGGAGAGTTTCAAAGATAGTGGAAGATGGTGGCACGGTTGATTCACAGAGAAAAAGCGCGCTGGATCGTGGGCTCTTGAGATTCGCCCAACACGATTCCAACCGTTGACCCATTTTGTACCCATTTATGATCTGTCACTTACACACTTGTTTACAATCTGTTCTGCCAGATTTTGACCCGGTTTTCTTTGGAATACGAAGCTGTGCCATAACAGTTAGGTTTTTGGCAATTATTGTCTTTTACTTGTGTTTTAATTGACTGCAGAGAAAATGCGCTGGATTGTGGGATCTTGTGATCCACACAACCCGATTCCAACCATTGTCCCATTTCACAACCGTTTGTGATCTGTCACTCACACACTTGTTTTCAACCCGTTTTGCCAGACTTTGACCTGGTTTTCTTTTTGGTATACAAAGCTGTGCCATAACGGTTAAGTTTTTGGTATTTATTGTCTTTTACTTGTGTTTTAATTGAGCACTCACGTTTCCAATGTACAGTTTTCAGGTTCCAAATCCTCAATTAAAACACGACTAAAATACAATAAATGCAGATATTTCCTTCAATTCTTCTCATCTCTAAACTGTTCAATCCCATATTATCCCTGCACACTGCACTGCTGTTCCTATTTCTTCTTTAAAACAGAGCCTTTCCATTAGTTTTTAGACGTCCATGATTTTAGATAATGTTTGAAATGAGATGATATTTTTATATGATGTTTTTTGGATCATGTTGAGACAATTTTGTTTTTAGTTGCTGTTTGAGGAAATTATATTTTTTTGATAAATGTTTGCTACTTATGATTAAATTAATAAAATTTTATGTTAAGGATATTTTTCGTAGTTATTTCTTTAATTTTGTCTATACGGTGGGATCTTAAAATCTGTTAGGATCTTACGATTTACGATTTTTCTATACCTTAGGGTATGTCTGGATTGGTGGAGTGGAATGAAATAAAGTGGTATATAATCATATTGCGGAATGGATCTTGATGGAATCCATTCCATCCTATTCTTTTCTATTTTCATTCCACCCAATTTGGGGTGTATGCAATATAATAAACTAATTTGTTTTGTTCCATTCCGTCAAATTATAAAAAATACACAAACAATGGAATTGAATCTCTGTTCCAGTTTGATCCACTCCATTCCATCATGTTCCGCTCCGCTCCATTCTAGTCCATCAATCCAAACATAGCATTAATGATCTTTAGCGGGTTCTTGATTTTAACAACCATGCGCTCAATTATTACATAATTATGAATAATTGTATTCATGTCATAAAGCTACTAGGATGAAGTTTACATGTTTTTACGAGGAATGAGATCTTGATGACTTTTATTTATCAATTATACTTCTTTAATTAGGCTTCAAGTTAAGTTTCAGTGAAGACTTGTTCTTATGATGGCCTAAATTGGAATAATTTTTTGTTAATAGAGAAGACAGGGAAAAAATTGTGGTTGCTAGTTCTTTTAAAACTATTTTAAGGCATCTATGGTGATTTGAAATTTTAAAAAGGAACTAAGCCAACTTATATTTAGATATCTTGTCTTTATTTTGCCTTTTTTGGTCGATGTAGCCTTTTAAGTAGTCTATTTGTTTGTATGATTCTCTTTGTTATTTAATTAACATGATTTGATCATTTACCCTTCTTGTTGGGTATATTGGTATATTTTGTCCATAATTAGTTGTAGCGTGAATTTGGGTTTTTTAACTTTTAGACGGAAAATTTTAGTATTGTTGATTTTTTGCCGAGGGTGGGGATCTAACCTCGAACCCCTAATCACTCCACAACCCACCTCTCCATCTCAGCCAGAGGCCATCCTGATATCCACTGTTGTTCATGTTATAACTTATTATCATATTTTAGAAATTTCTTTTTCAGTCAGATCATAACTTTTAGTTTGGTGGTCTGGTAATTTGAATCATCTTGCATGTATTTGGTTGAGAGAAACCGTTTATTTAATGTGGTTCACCGTCTGAAGACAGGAATGAGTAAAATGTCATGAGCTGCTTTCTAGTTTGACTCATTATTGTTCTGATATTATGTTGACAAAAATGGGTAAAATGACATGAAATGCTTTCTTCTATTGGTTGTTTTGTTATAGTCTTCTAATCTCCTATATAGGTTGTAATTCTTTAGTCTCCTGTATTGTCTGTTTGTTTTGGAGTATGGTTAGTATTCAATAGGGGCCAATAGCGGGATAGCGGAGCGGAGGCCTGCCGCTATGAGAAGAGCCTTAGTGGTGCAGAACTCTAGCGACTGCTATAGGGTAAATAGCGGGATTGCAGAGCGGTTCCCAGCCCGGAGCAGTCTTTGGCCCGCGATCCTTTCCTCTACGAAAAACGGAAACTATCCCTTAAATTTTAAATGTTTTAAGAGTAATTGAGTTTTTCAATCAAATTTGAGTTGAGACTCAATCTTAACCTTCCTAGATTCGGCACTTAAGTTTGAATTTTGGGATGTAAAGTTTAGATTTAGATTTGTTGACGTTGATTAAGAGTTTCGATTATAACTTGGTTGTGTTTGAGTGTTTTTTTTAATTAAGTTGTGCTTTGATTTATGAATATTTTATGGTATTTGAGTTAATTGTTTAATTTTACATCAAATATGTATTTATAATTATTATATGTAATTTGTCCAAAAAATGATTAAATAATGGTCATTCCACTATACTCTATAATGCTATCCCACTTTTGGGGTCAGCCGCATCCAACACTATCTTTGATTGACTACTCTCGGGTTATGATGGTGTCAACTGCGCCAGATATTTCATTAAGATTTCATTTATCTGTGTTTTATAATTATATCGGTTAAGTTCAGTTAGTCTGAAGGAGGAGGGGGTCTGTGAGTTCATTGTATAAAAGAACATGTTTATGACTTTTGTTCCTTCTTTTGTGTGCGAGGTTTGTAATTAGTTATTATAACTTCTATCGTAATAATGTAGTTATGACACATGTCTCTCATCTAGCTTTCTCATGCTGGTGCTTGTAGGGCTGCCTGTGCTTGGGGACAGTGAACGCAGAAGAAATTGAGGAAGAGTTATCACCAGGCTTTGCTAGTAGGCACTCATATTTGCAAAGCTATGCCATTATGCATATTTAAGGGTAGATGTTAGACTGAAACATGGATACTGGAGGATTAGTGTCTGATTTACCTTGTGTTTAGTAAAACCTGTGCAAGTGTTCAGTAAAACCTATGCAAGATTAATAAAGGCTAGTCCTTAATTTTGTTTTGTTTATTGCCAAATGTAATGCATGTTCAGAGGCCAATTTCAAGTTGTCAAGTCGTTTTTTTTGGTAGATAATGTGATTTGGACTTCGGACCTTGTAACTAATGTATGAGTCCTTATTTCATGTCGTGTTTGTGCCCCCTTTGCATTAATTTGAAAGAATTCGTGATATCCTTAATAAATAGGTTTCAATTTAAATGAAGGGGGTTGCTCTTTCCACCCTTATGTGTTCTCTCAAATCCCCATGAAAAGTCTCGAATATTCAAAGCGTTTGGAGATGATCTTTGGACGCATATTTTTCACACTCTTCAAATAAATTGTTAATAAACCTTTATTGCTTTAAAATTTGGTTGAGATGTATTTCCATATGTTTTAAAAATTAATTCAAAGATGTATATTCGTAAAAACTTAGTTCAATATTCATAGAGCGTTTTTGAGATGTAATTTTGGAATATGCAATGTTAGTTCAAATTAGAAAAAACATGTGACATTGGCATAATGGTAAAAAGATTAATTGTTATGTAGAGCAAGTGTAATAAAATATACACTATCAAATGAGATGTAATTTTGGAATATGCAATGTTAGTTTAAATTAGAAAAAACATGTGACATTGGCATAGTGGTAAAAAAATTAATTGTTATGCAGAGTAAGTGTAATAAAATATACACTATCAAATAAATCACTGGTTATACACTATCAAATAAATCACTGGTTGAGATTAATTGACGGTGTAACAAATCTTTATACCTTGAGTGAATATCAATTAATTGTCAAAAATCTTTATACCTATTGTGAATATCAATTAAATTCAATAGTAAAACAACATACATTAACATTGAAATAAACATAACATATAATTGTTAATATAAATATAAATTTTACATTAAATGTCTTTACAAATGGGTGGTTCATGACATTGTAACATTTTTTTTTGATATTTTTGATTTATTGCATCCACTTTAATACGACTCTTTGTTAGTAATGTAAAAGGTGCTCCACACGACCTTTAAATCACCATCTATAATCAGTTCAAACATGGTGAACTGTATCTTCTATTCATTGTCAATCGAGGGTGAACAGTACTCGAACTTGACAACTTTCTATTTTCTAGATATTATAGGAAAGTATTAATTTTGATTTCAGATCGACAAAAAGTATGTCCTCGAAGACCCTAAACAGAAGTAGGAAATTTGCACAATTGTAATACACAAATGTAAAATGGGGATATAATTTACGACATTGTAAAGAAAATGGAATAAGAGACTCTATTTATATAAGTTGTAGATTAATAAGGACCTTATACACCCTATCATATAATCATTACAAAATTCAACGTCTTTTTTTTTCTTCAAAAACTAAGAGTCTATCCAGATATGCATCTCTAGATAATCCTCTGTTTTGTTTTTTTTAATAATTAAAAGATCATGTCTGAAACAAGTTCAATCTACATCAAAACAAGACGACTTATAATGGGATGATCGACTATCTTGTCAATCAAGACATGATTATGCATACCAGAAATCACATTAAATTCTCATGTCTCATCCACCATACGGTATGCGTACAATTTAAATGAACATTCACATTTCCTCGATCCACTGTCATCTCGTTTCAACCTCCTAATTCGTGGTTGGTACGTGTCACTTCTTTCCCATCTCATTGTTATAAATGGTTGTCTTCTATCCAAATTATTGTCGGGCCTTCCGAATACAACGCCAAACCTCAATTTCTCGACCTCCCTGCGAATCCATTGCAGCATATGCTCATGAACAATAAACTCTTATTTATTTGTAAATTGTGCATTAATATCTACATTGACAACAACCGGTCGAGCACCCAGTTTAACATCATTCACTTCATCCGGTTTAACATCATGCTTCACTTCGACCGAATTAACATCCACATTCACAATAGTTTTGAAAAACATATTCGAGTGCACCATATCTAATACCAACAACAACAAGAAAACTATGTGAAAACTCAAACTATTAGGACAATCTGGAGATACATATCCGAATTCAACATTCATTTTTCAACTCAAAAATCAGATTAATGCAAGGAATGAGGGACGAGATAAATGAACTTTATCTTCCAGTTTGTTTTACTCCCTTTGAAGTGATGAAATACAAAAAATGATTTGTCAGTGTTGAGAAGTTGATTGATAATGGAAGAAACTTTTTAAAGGGTTTTAGAATGAAATATAGTTTCAAGCATGAAGAAGAAGATCGTGCAATGTTATATTTTATCCAATTTCTCGATCACCTCAGTAATATAAAACACTATAAATGAGTATAGAGATATTTCAGAGATGCATATTCGGACACACCCAAATAATATATGAAGATGCATCTCCATACCATATTTTTTTACAAAATAGAGTGGATCTCAGAAAAAAAAAAGTTTTGCCGTGACTTTAGATGTGTCCGAAAATGTATCTCCAAACTCATAAAAAACATTTTCGAATATTAAAAGACGTGGGATGCACACATTATCTATGAAAAGAATGTCCCTTAAATTAATTCGATTGGTCATATTTTTTAACAAGTCCATAATAAATGTCGTTATTAAGTATGTTTGATCTTTAACAAAAAAGGCAATTCTTGTATGTGAAAGCGTTGAAGATGCAAAGTTGAAGCAAGTTCTAGTGATAGGACAACTCATTACAATGCTATGCACAACAATACAAGCAGCCTGCAAAAATTAAGGTGAGAGACAACCAACCATTAATATAAAAAACATAAATTGAGGGAAGAGATGGAACACTCAAATGGAACAACAACAAAGCGACGGTTTATGTTATCAGGTCACAAAACTCAGTTGGATATTCTCACAGAATGTTCCTTTATACCTTTTTTTAGTCTTTGTAATCTTCACTTAGTCTTTATCTACATCTAAATGATTAAACTATAAGTAGCAAGTGATCAAGTATATCTTTTTTCACAAGCAACAACAAAGAAAAGAACAAACAACAACAAAAATGCAATATGAGTACGAGAATTATGATCCATCGTTCCCCGATCAACCTGTGGTTGATCAATACCTCCCAGTTTGGGCCAGGTTACCTTCTTTCAAGTCGAAACCAGCCTTCATTTGGGCCGAAGATTACTCGAACACCATTTCCACCACCCACCTCACCTATGAACAACTCAATACCTCAGTTGATATAATCTCAACTCAGCTACTCTTTCCTCTTCAAAGAGGCGACACTGTCCTTATTCTTTGCTCCCCCGGACTCGATCTTGTTAAGGTCATTTTCGGTTGTCAAAGAGCTGGTCTTTTAACTGTCCCTATAGTCCCTCCCCACCCTTCTTTCGCCAATGAAAAAAACTATCATCATCTTATAAGAATAATCTCACAAACTAAACCAAAAGCTGCCATAGCTCACCCCACCTACATTTCAACCATTCATCACTACATCACTTCATCCCACAACAATAAACTAGCTCACATGTTACAAACACTCCGCTGGATTTCCACGGACGACCTCAAAAACAATAACAGACATTTAAATTTGAATTCAAATTCATACAATGGTCGTAAACCAGACGAGGTTTACTTGGTTCAGTACACCTCAGGTGCAACTGGAATACCAAAACCTGTTCTCGCTACAACAGGTTCTGCTGCTCATAACGTTAGAACAGCAAGAAAAGCTTACGATCTTCATCCAAACAGTACTATCGTTTCGTGGCTACCTCAATACCATGATTGTGGTCTCATGTTTCTGTTACTCACAATTGTATCAGGTGCAACGTGTGTTCTCACTTCTCCAACATCGTTCATCAAACGACCGAGAATCTGGCTTGAGTTAATGTCGAAATTCAATGCTACATGCACTCCTGTTCCTTCTTTCACCTTGCCACTTGTTGTCAAACGTGGAGGAATTCAAAAAGGAACTTCACCTATTAATCTATCAAATCTTAACAACCTTATACTCATCAATGAACCTATTTATAGTGACTCAGTGGTTGAATTCATTCACACTTTTTCGCCATTCGGGTTAAGAGCTTCGTCCATTTCACCTTCTTATGGATTAGCAGAGAATTGTACTTTTGTTTCAACTGCATGGAGGGATCATAACATAGAAGCCTATTCTAGCTTCTCGCATTTTCCAACTCACAAAAAGCTTTTACCAGTTGCGAGGCTTGAGGAACAGGAAGACATGGAAATCATGGTTGTTAACGAAGAAACACTTGAACCTGTTGAAGATGGCGTTGAAGGTGAAATTTGGGTTTCATCTCCAAGTAACTGTTCTGGTTACCTTGATCATCCTTCTTTAACAAGAGAAGTTTTTCATGCAAGAATCAGAAACAAAGTTCGTAGGTGTTTCCTACGAACAGGCGATAAAGGAATCGTGAAAGGCGAAAAAAGATATCTCTATGTTACCGGTCGAATTCAAGATACTATAGAGCTTCAAAATGGTGAAAAGATTCAGCCACATTACGTAGAGACTGCGGTTTTCAACAGTTTTCCGAAGTTACTACGAGGAGGTTGTGTTGCAGCATTTAAAGTTTTAGCGACAGTAGTAATAGTCGCGGAGATGCAAAGAGTTGAAAAAGATGTGGATGAGGGGATTCTAAGAAGTGTTTGTGAAGGAATTAAAGAAAGTGTTTTGAAGAAAGAGTGTGTTGAAGTTGGATGGGTGGTTTTGGTTAAGAGTGAAAGTGTTCCCAAAACCACTTCAGGGAAATTGCAAAGATGGGCTGCTAAAGAGAAGCTTCTAGAAGGAAAAATGAAAATTCTGATGGAGATGAGGTTCGGAAAAGATGTTGCGAGGATAAAACACGAGGTAGCAAAAAAAGTTGATGTCGAAAAGAAAGATGATCATATAAACGGTTTAGTTTTTGGTGCAGAAACTCGCAGCTCATTGATCTCACATCTATGAGATAATTTAAGTGTTGCTGTGTGATCAGTACTGAATTCGAACCTATAATCTTTGGTTTAGCGGAAAAAAAATCCTTTACTATTTCATCTGAGTGATCTTTGGATTGTGTATTATATAAATAAAAAACAATAATATTGAAACTTCTAATATATTGTTTGCCATTCATGAAGCAAACAATGTATTTAGAGATTAAGTGGCATACAATGTTAATGTAAATTAATTTAAAGTTTTGAATAGATTCTTTATCTTTTTAGCTTTTTCTTTAATGATCAAATAATAATAAAACTTATAGTACAAGCAACTAAATCAATTATTTCCCATTGGAACATACTAAGTAAGAACAAATAGGCACATTTTGTTAAGAAGGGAAATTGATAGGTGTTATGTTACATACTCAACTTGGTCTAAAATTTCAACGGAATTTAACTTTATGTTGATGATAATCAACATTGATATTAGAGTTACTTGATGTTGAAGTTACAATTTGCTTCAATTATCATCATCATCAAATCCAGATACTCCAGGTGCGAATGCGGGTGCACCATCAGGTGTATCCATGTCGTCTTCATCATCTGACGGTGCTCCATCGGGTGACTCTATTGGAGCAGCCCCTACAAATCTTTTGTCGACTATGCCTTCAGCCTCCACAATTCTTTTGTCGATTATGCCTTCGTCTTCGTCTGGTGACATGATTGGTGATCGGCCTGGGGCGAATGAATCATCATAGTCTGTTTGTGACCCTTCTGGCACCGGTGCTGGTAAATCTTCTGGCGCACCGATTGGTGAATCCACTGGCAATGTTGGTTGCTCTTCTGCAGTCATGCTGGTTCACGTGGCGTACACGAAATTTTTTGATTTGTTAGTAGATTTCTAGGTACATAAAAAATGAAAGAGAGAAAAAGAATGACTGTGATCTTACTTTTCTTCTATGAAACCAGCCAAAGATGCAGCGCCATCACCTGCAGGAACTGAACCACCGTATCCACCAGCAGCACCACCACCGTCTTCACCAGCAAAGTCCCCACCGCCAAAATAATCATCAAACGCGGCTTGTCCGGCTGCTGCAGTATTAGCAGCACCAAGAGCCTTCTTAGCCTGATCAATACTCTCAGACAAATCACCGTCTCCCATAAGATCCTGCCAATTTGCCTGTCCCATAACGGTACGCAACGGCATCGCAACCGCAATTGCGAACACCAAAACAAATATTAACTTTGTCATTTTTTCTTAATTACCCTGCAACAAAGGATAGCAATGTAGTGCAACTTTATTTGACTAGAATTTGATGTTTTTTATGTTAACACAATAACCTCTTTTAGGAATGTTTAACGTTTGAGAAAGTTGTGATGTTACCTTAATATTTGGTTCTTAGAGATATGTTAATTAAATACCCACCACTTACGTTTTAGTTTCACGAAATATAAGGTTCTACGCTAATATTATTTGCTAAAAAATTCTTAACCATTTATATATATAGACATTAATTTGTGGTGTTTTGTTTTCTATTTTCTGTTTTATTTTATACCATCAATATTATTTTCTCTCTAAAATAAATAAACTAGACATAATTTCTAATACAATGTTACATTACATCACATAATACGACATTTGTTATAAACTACATTTAGGAATTACTCAAATTAGAAATAGACAACATAACAATATAAATTAATTGAAAAACATGTTGCTCCATAGCTCTAACAGTCTTTGTCTTTGCTTCAACGGATATTAAGATTCCTCATTCTCCTGAAAACGGGATTAGACAGGATAATAAGATTTAATATGGAGAATTAATACTCAATTAAGAAACCTTATAGAGTTAATTAATGAATAAGTGGACAAGTGCATGTGCTAAAAAACTTAATTAAATCAAAATATTGCATATGAACATTATTTAAATAGAGGACCCTGGGGACAAACTACATATGTCTATGCATGATCTAATGATTATTAACTAATCTATGAGTTGATGATAATTAATTATATATATGGGTCATTATCTTAACTAATAATCACGTGCACATGATAAGTTTGATGATAGATTGAATTTCATGTGACTCTATCATAGCCATCTCAAGATTTTCAAGCTAATGTCGGTTTAATCTTGACAAAATAAATAGAAGTCCAGACTATTTATTTTTCATACGAATCGAAGCGACAAGTCTGAATCTCAGTAGTTCGTAACAACAATAATTAAATGTATTATCAGCACCTTTGTTCTTCAGCAATTAACTGTCTTCTGGTGTTGTTGATATTGACACCAGAAGAAGCTCCTCCTCTGTATGCGGGCAGTGGAACTTGATCACGTTCAATTCGAATGAGATCTTGTTTGAGGATTTCATAATGCCTTTGAACTTCTTGTATTGATTTTCCACCAACAGCGTTAGCCACATGTTGCCACCGATTTGGGTCTTCTGGACCATATACAGCAAGTGCATCCTCAAAACGTCTGTTCTCTTCTCCTGTCCAACCCATATTGCTCCTATATCTATGAATGTAACTTTTCAATACAATAATAATAATACGGACTCAAAGAAATGAAGTAGAAAACACAGTGATATGAGAGTTGTTACAATGATACGTTGTGTTAAGACAGTGTGGTCTTAGTTCCTTAAATAAGGGAGAGTCAAGTGAAGGGTGTTTGCAAGTTGGTTATTATTTATTTGTAATATTATTGAAAAGAAAAAAAAAACAAATTCTATGAGTGAAGTCACCTACAAGTTGTTTTTGTTAGGTTGAGTTATTCTCAATTATAGTTTTAGCATTGATCATCCAAGATATCATCATTATATTTTGTTTTCCACTATATTATTTAAAAGATATATGTTATGTTAATGTATTTTTTAAATAATTATTTTCTACTATTTTTGTAATAGTTTGTGAACTTATTTTAATACTATAAAAATGTAATGTGTATGAAAAGTATTATTATTTCATGGTTAATATAATTTATAAATTTTTAAAAATATAAATTGATTGAATAAGATAAAATCAACTCATTTTTCATTGGTTTAGTTTAGTTTAATTTTAGTTTAGCTTTTCAAAAAATAATTGTGAATATCAAATCCAATCAAACCAATTATTATTTTTTATTTAAATTTATTTGGAGGCCAATATAAATTAAATATAAATTAAAAACAGAAGATACAAGTTTTAGAAAAAAGGATGAAAAAGAAAAAAGATGACCATGTCTTTCATATTTATTTTTCATAAATCTATTTTACCTGTATGAGAATGTAGTAGAGCAAAACTCAACATAATTATGGTGAAATTCTCTTTCATTGATGTCAATTTGTTGAAAATTTTCAAACAAGTATCATCTGTATTGCATAGAGAGGAGACACAAATTTGCATTATCCAATGGTTTCTATTCAGGCAGGGGTTTTTACATTTTCATTTTTGGGGTTTCATTGTTGTTCAGATGGTAGAGATTATTAGTAATAATTCATATTTTATTATATTACTTTCTTAAGCCCTAAGTTTGTTAGAGGGTATTTTAGTATTTTATCTTATTCTAGTAACCCTAGTTTTAGCCTATAAATAGGGTGACAATCATTGTAACTCTTAATCCTGTTTCTTCTGCCGTCATTCTCTTTAATAGAATATTTCCCTATTTCATCATTTATTCTATCTTTGCACCAACAATTGGTATCAGAGCTCCGGTTCAGATTCATTGGGAAACACGGGAAACACGAGTGAACGTGAGGTCTTGTGTGTTTGATTTTGATTCTTAGATTCGTGTTGAATCTTGAACAAAATCTGATCAGAATTTTATTCTGTGGGTTGGGAAACACTGTGTGAAAAATCTGAGTGTATTGTGCAAAGTAGAAGATGAACGGAAACGGCAACATGAACACCAAACTTCCAGTATTTGATGGTAAAAAATGGAATCGTTGGATGATCCAAATGCGTGTACTATTTGGTGCTCAAGATGTTCTAGATCTTGTCACTGATGGTTATGTTCCAGTAGCAGCAGATGCAACCGATGAACAAAAAAACGCGCAGAAGGAAGTAAGGAAGAAGGATCAGAAAGCATTGTTCTTCATTCATCAATGTGTGGATGTAAACGTGTTTGAGAAGATTGCAGACTCTACAACAGCAAAGGCTGCATGGGACACTCTGGTGAGATGTTATGGTGGTGACGCATCAGTGAAGAAGGTGAAGCTTCAGTCCTTGAGAAAGCAATATGAGAATCTCAACATGAAGAATAATGAGAAAGTTTCTGAATACATCTCCAGAGTGATTCTGATCACTAATGAGATGAAGGCATGTGGAGAAACTCTTTCTGAAGAAACAATCATGGAGAAAGTATTGAGATCCCTTACTCCTCAATTTGATTACATTGTGGTAGCAATAGAACATTCCAAAGATCTGAGCACAATGAGAATTGAAGAGCTGCAGAGCAGTTTAGAAGCGCAAGAGTTGCGTTTGACTGAGAGAACTTCTGAAAGGGAAGTAGAGCAGCAGGCTCTGAAAGCAATTTCTGATAGGAGGTATCAGAAGCAGTCAGAAGCCAAGAGAAGATCTGATGGTGGTCAGAAGTCAGAAACCTCAACCTCTGATAGACAAAAGAATGCTCAGAAGGGAAAAGAGAAGTATGACAAGGAGAAGATCCAATGTTACTGTTGTAAGAAGTTTGGTCACTTTGCTAGAGATTGTTGGTCAAACAAGGAGAAGAAATCAGAAGAAGCAAATATAGCCAGAAATTCTGATGACGAATCTGTGCTATTGATGGCCTCTGAATCTGATGATCTGACAGACTGGTGGTATATGGACACTGGCTGTTCAAATCATCTTACTGGAAACAAGAAATGGCTGGTTGACTTTGACTCTGAAAAGAGAACAAAGATCAGATGTGCTGATGACAAATATCTTAATGCAGAAGGTATGGGAAATGTCAGAGTGACTCTGAACAATGGAAAAATAGCATTGATTCAGAATGTGTGGTATGTACCTGGCATCAGAAGCAATCTGATAAGTGTGGGACAATTAATTGAGAAAGGTTTCTCAGTTACCATGAAGGACAATCTTCTGAAGCTGTATGACTGTAATCAGAAGTTGATTATGGAGTCAGAACAGGGAAGGAATAGAACATTCAAGGTGAATGTCAGAACTGCAGACTCAGAGTGTCTTAGTGCAACAAGTACTGAGAAGGAGAGTGAGCTGTGGCACAGAAGATTTGGTCATTTGAATTTCAGAAGCTTACAACATCTGAATTCAAAGAAATTGGTACATGGAATTCCTGCAATTAAGAAGCCTGAAAAGTCATGCAAAGTTTGCATGGAAGGAAAACAACCAAGATTGCCATTTGCATCAGAAGTTGCTCCAAGAGCAAAACATGCCTTGGGAGTTGTACACTCTGATGTGTGTGGTCCATTTCCAGTAGCATCAATTGGAGGGAACAAATACTTTGTGTTGTTTGTTGATGAATTCACAAGAATGACATGGGTATCCCTTATTAAGTTCAAACACGAGGTGTTTGATGAATTCAAGAAGTTCAGAATGAAGGCTGAGAATCAGAGTGGTCAGAAGTTGAAGATTCTTAGAACTGATGGTGGAGGTGAGTATAACTCCAAAGAGTTCCAGAAGTTCTGTGAGGAGAATGGAATTGAGCATGAGGTTACTGCTCCTTATACCCCTCAACACAATGGTCTTGCTGAAAGAAGAAACCGTATTTTGCTTGATATGGTGAGAAGTATGCTAAAGGAGAAGAAGCTTCCTCAGAAGCTTTGGGGAGAAGCTGTTGCCACTGCAACGTATGTACTCAACAGATGTCCTACGAAGAAGTTGAAGGAAATAGTTCCTATGCAGAAGTGGACTGGAGACAAGCAAAGTGTTAGTCATCTGAAGGTATTTGGTTCTGTTTGCTATAAACATGTTCCAGAAGCCAGAAGACAGAAGCTGGATGATAGAAGCAAAGTGATGATTTTGATAGGGTACCACAGTACAGGTGCATACAAGCTCTATTGTCCAGAAACCAATAAAATTGAATTCAGCAGAGATGTGATTGTGAAGGAATCAGAAGTTTGGAATTGGGATAAGTTTCAATCTGATTCTGATGTTAGAACCTCTGAAGAAAGGCCAGAGTTAAGAATTTCTGAAGTTGAAGTAAACCCTGATATTGACTCTGACTCTGATACTGATTCAAACTCTGAAGAAGACTCAGAAGATGAAGGTGACCCAGATGACCCAGACTCTGATGGCAATCCAGATCTTGGTGGCAATTCAGACTCTGGAAATATGCCAGACTCTGAAGATGGTCAAAGCTCTGGAGGTCAATCATCTGAAGCTAGAAACTCTGAAGCTCAAGACTCTGAACAAGTTCAGAGACCACAAAGAATCAGAAGCGTTCCCAGAAAATTTGCAGAATTTGACATGCTGTAAGACACTGAAGTAGACTCTGAAGGAGAAGTTATTCAGTGTGCCATGTTAGTAGACTCTGAACCTATAAGTACAGAGGAGGCTCTTAAGCAGAAGCTCTGGCTGAAGGCCATGAAAGAAGAACTTGATGCTATAGAGAGAAACAAGACTTGGAAGCTGACAGAACTTTCAAAAGACAAGAAAGCCATCAGCGTCAGATGGGTTTTCAAGCAGAAGTTAAAGCCAGATGGCTCAATTGGCAAACATAAAGCAAGGTTGGTAGCCAGAGGATTTCTACAGAAACCTGGGCTGGATTATTCTGAAGTGTTTGCACCTGTAGCAAGACATGAAACAATCAGAATGGTGATTGCAATAGCTGCTAACAGGAATTGGCCTCTGATGCATTTAGATGTAAAATCTGCATTTCTGAATGGTCCATTAGAATAAGAAGTTTACGTGTCACAACCTCCTGGATTTGTGAAAAAGAATCAGGAAGGGATGGTGTACAGATTATACAAAGCTCTATATGGATTGAAACAAGCGCCCAGAGCTTGGAATCAGAAGATTGATTCATTTTTCAAGAAGCAAGGCTTTCAGAAATGTGAGATGGAGTACGGTGTCTATGTTCAGCATACTCCTGAAGGCAATATGACTCTGGTATGTTTATATGTTGATGATATACTGCTGACTGGAAGTTCTGAACAGGAGATAGCCAAGTTCAAGAAGGTTCTAATGAATGAATTTGAAATGACTGATCTAGGCAAAATGACATACTTTCTAGGGATGGAGTTCAGATATTCTGAGAAAGGTATCATTTTGCATCAGCTCAAGTATGAATTAGAACTTCTGAAGAGATTTGATCTGAAGAATTGTAAGATGGCTGTCACACCTTCTGATACAAATCAGAAACTGGATTCAGACTCTGAAGGAAAGGATGTGGATGCTACAACCTTCAAACAATTGGTTGGTTCTCTGAGGTATCTGTGCAATACCAGATCTGATATTTGCTACTCAGTTGGGATGGTTAGTAGGTTCATGAGTAAACCTAAGTGGTCCCATTACCAAGCTGTTGTCAGGATTCTGAGGTATATCAAAGGAACTCTGAAGTATGGAGT